TCTTTGCTACAAAAAGTCCATCTCTAGACTTCCAACCCTCACAATCAGTCCTGATAACAATCATTCACAATTGCATCACAAGAGACCCATCTGTATTTTGTTTCATCAGCCCTTCCTGGACAGGCTGGACACTATTCACTGGAGACTCTACCTTCCTCCACGCCCTTTGCATCTAGGTTCCCTCTTGAAAGCTTGTAAGCCAGTCACTTCTTGCCTTTGTATTCCTCTCCCCATTTTGAGTAGCCAATGTCCAAGTTGCCCATCCCTGTCTACCCTTTGTGTGGAGGGGGTGGGAATAGTTCTTGCAGCAGGGAGTTGTTTCCTCTTTTGAGCTACTGCATTTATAGGTGTAGGTCCTGTTTATCGAATTGTATCAGATGACGCTTTTTTCCCTCTTCGTTCTTCTTTGGATTGAGCTCTGTTTATCTAGTCATTGAAGTCCGGCCAAATGGGTATCATCTGCAAGTGTGGATGTTCTTATGTTTGTCCAGCCTCTTTTTATCGCCTGGCCGCCCCCTGGCTGTACTTCTTCCAACACAGATTGGTTTATTCTTTTGACAGCCCATGGTACTTTTAACATTCTCCTTCAACATCTTAACTCAAATGCATCAATTCTTCTATGATCTTTCTTATTCACTGTCCAATTTTCACATGCATATGAGATAATTGAAAATATCATGGATTGGATCAGGTACATCTTAGTCTTCAAACTGACATCTTTGCTCTTCAACTCTTTAAAGAGGTCTTATACATTTACCTAATGTAACACATCATTTAATTTCTTGACTGCTGTTTCCATGAGTGTTGATGGTTGATCTGAGCAAAATGAAGTCTTTGACAACTTCAATTTTTCTCCATTTATATGGATGCTGTTTATTGGTTCATTGATGAGGTTTTTTTTACATTGAGGTGCAACCCATAATGAAAGCTGTGATTTTTGATCTTCATCAATAAGTATTTTAAGTCCTCTTGGCTTTCAGCAAGCAAGGTTGTATCATCTGCATATCACAGGTTGTTAATGAGTCTTCCTCCAATCCTGATGCCATGTTTTTCTTCATATAATCCAACTTCTCAGATTATTTGCTCAGCATACAGACTGAATAAGTGTCGTTAAAGAATGCAACCCTGGCAAACACTTTTCCTACTTTTAAACTGTTTGCTGTTCCCTTGTTCTGTTCGAACAACTGCCTCTTGGTCTATATACAGGTTTCTCATGATTACAATAAAGTGTTCAGGAATACTCATTTTTTGCAATGTTGCCCATAGTTTGTCATGATTCACACAATCGAAAGCCTTTATGTAGTCAATAAATCACAGATAAACATCTTTCTGGCATTCTCTGCTTTCAGATATGATCCATCTGACGTCAGCAATGATATTCTTCGTTCTATGTCTTCTTGTAAATCCGGTTTGAACCTCTGGAAGTTGTCTGTCAATGTATGGTAGCAGCCATTTTTGTATTATCTCTAGCAAAATTTTACTTGCATGGGATATTAATAATGATTCCTGGTGGGTCATCTAATTTTTGAATGGGAACAAATAAATAGATCTCTTCCAGTCAGTTAGTCAGGTATGTTGTTTTAAAAAGGTATTTGCAATGAATAAGTCATCGATCTTGCAAAATTCTATCATGACATCTCCAGCATAGTTTCTATCACCAAGGTCCAACTATTGATCCTTCTTA